GGTTGGATTACTGCAATGCATTCTACATGGGGCAACCTTTGAAGAGTATCTGGAAGCTGCAGCTGGTGCAAAATGCAGTGGCGCGGACAGTTCCGAATGCCCCCAGGGGGGCCCATATAACACCTCTGTTATGCGAGCTGCATTGGTTGCCGGTTTGCTTCCGGGTCTAATTCAAGGTGTTGGTTTTTAAAGCCCTTCATGGCACAGGACCAGGTTATCTGAGGAGCCATCTCGGCCCCATTATATCAGCCCGCCCCACTTGGGCCGGCAGAAGGGGCATGTCGCGGACCCCACCAGTAAAGGAATTTTGATTGGTGGGGTCTAGGAAGAGGGCCTTTTCTGCTGTGGCCCCAACCCTGTGGAACAGCTTACCACCTGAGGTGCCTTGTGCCTCCACTCTCCTGGCCTTCAGGAAGAGCGTGAAATCTTGGCTCACACCAGTGGAATTGGCTTGTGGGGTAATTGATTCTACCCCCCCCGTCATCTTGAATATTTTTAGTCTTTTTATGTATAGGATCTTTTTGTGTACTCTGACTTTTTAACTAATTAACATGGGTATTTATATTTTTAACTGTTTTTGTGTTTTACTTTAATCGTGAGCCGCCCAGAGTCACCCTCTGGGGGAGATGGGCGGCATACAATTAGATAGATAGATAGATAGATAGATAGATAGATAGATAGATAGATAGATAGATAGATAGATCCAGCTCACCAAAGCTGAAGGTCCTTGTGAGAATATATTTCATCTGTCTGTCTATCAAATTTTTAGCTGCCCATCTCACCAGAAGTGACTCTGGGTGGCATACAACAATCAAATACAACCACAATATAAAAATAATCATTATAAATATAGACAATCATTATTAAAAAATTTAAAAAGCATTAAAAATTAGTATATACAAACTCCAAATGAAGAGAGACGTATAGCAACCACATAACACGCACAATAGGGGAGCCACTGGTGATTTCTCTTAAGGCAAATATCTAATCTTCAAATTTGCCTTGTCTCAACAAACGAGATGAGCATTTCCTCTTCTTTTTCCCCCGTATCCTTTTTCTTATAAGAACTCAGTTTTATTGTATTAGCAGTGTCAGAGGGATTGATTCTTTTGCCCAAACTCAGCGCTATTTGTGTTTTATGTGAACTGAAAAACTGCACAACATTTGGCATTACTTGAATTAATAATAATTTCATGTAGGGACTGTGTTGTCTCCAGATCAGTGATTCCAATTAAGGGAGTAGCCCTACTGAAAACTAACCAAAGAACAGAAAATTCCAGCACTAGTAGCTTTGTCTTCTGCGTTTGAGTCAGTGTTGACTTCTGGAGTAGCCCCTGCAGTTTTCTTGGCAAGATTTCATAAATGGTTTGCCCTTGCCTCCTCCTTCCTAGGGCTGAGAGAGAGTGACTGGCCCAAGGTCACCCAGCTGGCTTTGTGCTTAAGGTGGGACTAGAAATCACATTCTCCCAGTTTCTAGCGTGGTGCCTTAACCACTACACCAAACTGGCTCTTTGTAGAGTTTATTACAGCTGTAATAGTAAACTGTGTATAATTACAAGACATAATTCTGTGGCTGATTTCCAAATTCACAGTACATTTGGTATTACAAGAATTTGGCTTTCCTTGGTACAGAGTTTGGGATGGAATTTTAATTGTAGCTCAGGCAGCATGTAATTCTGCATTTTTGTATGTATGCACATTTGGCATTAGAGTATATAATAGTACTTGTGAGTTTAATAGCTTATGTGCAATTGTATTAATAGGTACTAGGTTCATGAAAGACGGGTTTGGTAAACAGAGGTTAATTAGAGCAGGATTATTGCCTTTAAGCTTTGCTTATAGGATTTCTAGAAGCATCTCTGGCCTTTGGTGGAAATAGGTTGCTTGACAGATGTTCCTTCTTTATCTCATCCAATAAAGTCCTTCCTCTTATTCCTTACGTGTAGATTTATTTCTATCCAGCTAATCTTCTTGTTGGAAGGAGCGACAATAGTTCAGTAACAGAGTACCTGGTATTTTATGCAACGTTTCAGGTTTAGACTTCAGTGCTCTCTGCATAAAACTGGAAAATAACCCTGCCTAAAATGTTGGAAACTTGTATCAATTAGTCTTGGTAGTATTAGTAGTGCATTGATTTTCTTCACTTTAAGATGGCTTACTCCCAAATCAGCAAATTTTGATTTTGGGTCTCCAGTTATTATTAAACTATATTTATCATCATCCCCATGTTGGCTGGGGATGATGGGGGAGTCATTATGAATCAACATCTGAAGACCCAGGATACTTTATCTGTTGTCATTATTCATGGACACTGGATTCATACTTACATAATACCTTGACATTCTTGAGTTTACCAGTTATGGGGTTGTGCTTTAAGGACAATTAGAGAAATCATTTTATGCCTAAATGAATATCCAGTCAGAAACAATGACAGCTTTGAAATTTCCACTTGGATAAATTTGCAATTTGAGACACTGAGTTTCTATCCAGGTAAGCTTAGATACTGTGGCTGGAGATGAAAAACATTCCAAAGGATGTTCCACTGTGGATATTATATACAATAATACAATACGTCTATTGAAAAAGCAGTAGACATGCAGATGCATGTTTGATGGACTCAGCAAATAGTGGCAAAGACTGCAGTTGAGTTGAAAATCTGTCCTAATTAACACAAAGATGGAGCCCGAGGCAAAAAATCCAAGGATGTTGAAAACATTACATGAATAAGTGACCTGTGCTCTCTGCTAAAGGTCCATTTCATTCCTCATCCCCAGCTGCCACTTCCTCTCTCCAATGGAAAGGCCTTGTGTAGACTAGCACGACAAAAATCTATTAATCCTAGGGCTTAGCAGAGAATTTCTCTTGCCACTTTTTCTACCTTTCAGAGAATAAGCTTTAAAAATTATTTGAAAGGGGAAGAATATTTTAGAGAAATTGGTGGGTGAGGTGTAGTGCTTCTGCACTTATCTAATGATATGGCATCTAAGAAGTGTGTGTGTATCTGTGTGTGTGTAGATTCCTGTCCTAGGTATAGGGATAGGCTAGATGTTCTTGAAGGTCTCTTTCAACTCTTAGGTTCTATGATTTTGTGTCAGGTTTTCACTGCACTATGCTCTCCCCAGCAGTCTCCCTGACTTCTTACACTCCTGTTAAATCATTAATGGAGATTGCTACTCCCATTCTACTGTCCATTCTACTGTCACCACTGAAAGAGAGTTCTCCTGTTGAGAAATTACTGAGAAATTTCTCCTTCCCTTGAAGAAATTTGAACAAATTGTCTGCCTGGTTTCTCATTTCAGAAGTTGGGTGGAGAATTTGGAAATATTCTGTTTATTTCACCAGTTCTGGTTATTTCACTAATAGCTAGCAGGTCAGAAGTCACTAACAAATATGTGTGTGGCACCACATGTAGCGAACATTACATATCCAGACCTCTGTATATTGGAACAGTTTTACCTGTAGTCTAATTGTCAGCTATATAGTAGCAGTAGCTGTTTCTCCTTGTTTGTGTCTGACATACTACCATTTCTGCTATCTGGAGACTGGTGGCACTTCTACTTCAAATAAAGTTGTTAATGGTTAGGTTAGATTTTTTCCCCTGCCCTCTCTGAAGCCTCAAAAGTGATTGCAGTATATCCAGAGATTAAGGGCAATATACATTTAGATATATAACATATAAAATATCATCAGATGGGTAGAGGATAGAGCTCTACTTTGAACAGTTGTGCAGAATTGGGAATTTTGGCCAGAGTACCTCTGTTCACCCTTTGATGTAGGCCAGTTCAAGAAACAGGCAATGCTCTTTATTGTTGTAGGGTAGAATAATAGAATCTTGAAAGCCTGTCAAAATTGCTGTCTGTCCTATCTTATATCCAAGAAAATCAAAGTGAGGTTATTTTGATTTTCTTTCTCACACTTTCCTCTTTCTCGGGATTGAATAATCTTTTCTAGAAGTCCTCCCTTAACATTTCATTCTTTCCTTTCCCTTTCTTAAGGCCTGGTCTACATTCCTTCACAAGCTCACACTTTTACGGATTTAGAATGAGTGGTTATTCCTTTTTGTGAAGGTTGGAATAACAGAATAGTGGTGGCTCCAGGTTTAGCATCAGTAGTATTCCTGAAAACTCCAAAACATTTGAAAATTTAAACAATATGCCTGTGTACATATGTATGGCACACTGTATATAAAACTATTCTCATAAATGATTTTCTCTGGTGACCTTCAGTATTCACTTCTGGACATGGGCTGAGACTGTATCTTATGATCTCCTGGAAGGCAAAACCCAGAAATTGCTGCTGCTGTTACTGTGGAGTCTGTTACTGTTGTCATATTGTCATATGAGTGCTTTGATGCACTGCCAATAGCCCAGTAGATTACTGACAAAACCACCCACATTAGTCTTCCTGATCACTTAGGAGGGAAATGTAGATGCAAAAACTACTTCTATCAGAGTGAACAGATATATTTGGCTATCTGCATGGAGTGGCTGACTGGAGTGGAATGTAATTGCATATTTCATGTGTTCTCTACTTTGACTCAGTGACCCTATTTGGATAATTAGATATTATGAATGCTCCTTTGTGTCTGTTTCCACACCACTCCCTGCAAAGGAGATACTTAAGAATGTCAGATTGGTAAAGTTGTGTGACTGACCAGGTCCTTTGCTAAGTAAGTCTCCTATGCAGTCATTTTGCAATCAGGATTGTTACACATTCTCAACATTTGAAATGTGTCCCCAAGCCAAAATGTTTGCCTGCCCCTGAAATCTGTTAAATATATGTCTTGATAGATAATCAAGCTAATGAAGTGATGCTGTTGACTACTAACTTCACATTACTTATCTTAAGGGAATGAGGCAATGAAGCAGGAATAAATTATATTTGGAGATAAAGCCTGTCCAATTTATGAGGATTGATGATTTCAAAGCTTTGTTGATAAAGTATTGGCCCTAATGTGCAACTGTGAAACTTAACTGATTTATTTGTTTGATTTGTTCTAGGGTCGTCATGTTAAAACAGGGCAGCTTGCAGCTATTAAAGTCATGGATGTTACTGGGGTAATGTATTCTTATCTCACTTTCTTAATTTATGTATCTGTCTGATTAAAGTGCAAGGCAATTCACTCAAGAATTTGGAAGCATCCAGAAATTATTTAAATGTTGATTTGGTTTCCATTGGCTTGGGTAGCAAGAATACACATAGAGAATTGTCAATAATCACAGTATTTTTTTAAGTTCATTTCAAATAAAGGCCAGCATCAAGGCATTTATGGTCTTCAGCAAAAAAAAAAAAAAAAACAAAAAAACAGTGACAAAGGAGAGCTAATATCTGACTTGTTTTTTTTTTGTTTTTTTGTTTTACTGCTGTTCAATACATTGTTTGTTATGTGCTTTGATGAGCAAGCAGAGACCTGCACAAGGTACAATGGTAATTGCCATTTAATCATTTATTTGTTCCCACTCTCTGGAAAACGGTGAGGATTGAGTCTCACTACACCAGTTTGGCAACTCTTTCTGGTGTCAGATGTCGGATGCAAAAGAAAAGAAAATACAGGTAGTCCCTGGGTTAAGAACGCCTGGTGTACAGATGCCCCATAGTTAAAAACGGAGCCTATTATAGCAAAATTAAATGCATAATGATTTGAGTTAAATTCACAATGGTTCAAGTTAATTACACAATACTATTTATACAGTATTATACAATAATACTGTTCTGGCTTACATCCAAATTTGACTGAAGGACAGACCTTGGGAATGGAACTCGTTCCTAAACTGGGGACTACCTGTATTATAAACATTTCTGAAATTTCACAAGAAAACTAAATCTTATATGGTTTCATAGCCAGGCACAAACAGTCCTTCAAAATTCCATACACTACTTGTGGACAAAGGAGTTGGCTGGACAATTACTCTGTGTTTGTCTAAAAGAAGTAAATATTCTCCAAAAGTTTCTTAAAGGAAGGACTCTCCTCAATGGCAACAGTTGTGTCATTACTGAAGAAACAAAACAGGAGGACTTCTCTTGAGCTATAATTAAAGCATGAGAAGCCAGAGAGGCTGCAGGCTTCTGGAGAGATGATTATACTATGAAAAATGGGATATGCACGCATATCCTTTGGACACCTCGTCACAAAATAAGTGGAGAACATCACACTCCATTCATGAAAAGTTCTCTGAAATTATCTTCCATTTTAGAACACTTTATAAAGTATCCTGTTTTGTCCAATTTGAATAATAACTGGTACGAAAACAAAACAGAACTTATGTGCCTGGCACTAATTTTAGCACCCTCTCCTGAAATATCCTAAGAGGCAAGTGTGAACACTGGTATTCAGATAACATGTTTGATTTAGGCCACTAACCATAAATACATTTAACAATGAAACAGTGAAATATTTTTATTATAGCCATTTTCATTAATTTGGGGGATGTTTGCCTGAGTAGGAGCAGATGCTGCTTGCTGACTCCAGCCTTACGCCCAAGCTCCATTTCTACCAACTAAGAGATTGTCTAATGCCTTCCTTGCCTACACAAATTCTCTGCCTTGGAACCTTTTCTTTTGGAGTTTCAGTTTCTTGATCACTCCAGTTGGCCTTACCTTTACTTTTTCCAGCTTTTGAGATCCAGTTTTGTCAAACAGCCAGATGGGTCAGCATGTTTTCATACCTGTGGTCCTATCAATAGCAAACAGTTAGTTGCTATTGATCTAGACGTCTGTAATACCTTTTGTGTTGGTTGCCTCCTCTGTCTACATCACTGTAGCATTGTCCATCCTTTAAAACTAATAAATTCCTAATCCTTATGTTATAGGGGATACCTGTTCATTGTTGCTGCTTGTGCTGAATACTTGTCAGTCTTCCCAGGTAGACCAGACAGGAAACACAACCTGATGAGCTAATTCTACTTTATTGTAAGGCTACATTAACAGTATCTTGCAAGCCTGAAAGTACAAATCTCCCCCATTTCTTTTTACAGCCTGATAAGTTAGGGAGGGTCTTTTCTGAGTTTCTTTCTCTGCCTGTTATGCAGCTGCGGGCTGCCCCCCTCTTATTGTTCCCCAGGCAGCATCTCTTCCCCTCATCTCCCAAGGTCATTCCCACTTACCTTTACAATACTGTAATGTGGATAAAATAATGATTTGATAATGATTCATTTCGGTTTAATTTCATTCATGGGTATGCATTTTTACCCAAAGAAGTTTGAGTAGAGATATTTACTCTAAGAATATGGCAAATGATTTTACTGCATCACTTCGCAATATTTGAATATGTAGTGTATGCAACTGCCTTACTGATAGACTTGTGAATTTGCTAGCTTTTTTCAGTTAATAGCACCTGCCCTGCTCTGTCTGGACTTGGAAGCTGGACAATATTTGGATAGGATACTATCAGGAAATACCAGTGCTGTAGATTAGGCTTAGAAATCTCCCTTCTGTCCAAAAATAAATTCCAGAAGAAAGAAGTGGCAAAGTGCTTTTGTACTGCTGTCAAGAGTATTGTGTAGACTTTACTTTCTCTAATATTTCTAGTTTGTATATTGGTTTGGTGTCCCCCTTGTAAGAGGCTTCCAATGGAAATTGATGGAGTTCTGCTCTAAGCATGTACTGATATGCAGGGCAAATAAATCAGACAAGACAGGGAAAGTGAATGCATGGGGGCTTCAGAGGAAAAGAACTATTGGTAAAGTCCATTCAAGCAAAGATATTTTGATGGAAGAAACAGGACCTTAGATAGCTCCAAGTGAAGCTTCTTAGTCAGATAAGTGACAGGTGGTTGTTTCAATAATAACCTTCTAAAAATAGCTGAAGCCATACGTACTCAGTGCCATCTCCACTGGATTATTTTTTTAAGGGACATTGTCTGTCTTTTGTAGACCTTAGTTAATGCAGAGCAGAAGAAGCAAAGATTCTGCTAGAGCATGCTGGCTGGGGAATTCTGGGAGTTGAAATCCACACAACTTAAAAGTTGCTCAGGTTGAGAAACACTGTACTAGAGACTTCTATCAATATACCATACAGTTTCAGTGCTCCAACCCTCAAGCTAATAGTTCTTGTGTGATTCTTGTGACCGTTGTTGAGTGGAGAATTCTAGGAGTTGAAGTTCACTTATCTTAAAGTTGCCAAGTTTGAAAAACGCTGTGCTAGAGTTAGGTTTTCCTCTAACTCAAAAGTTGATGTCAAGACATCCTAAGAGAGATAAGCAATTTTCTTAACCCTGTAGGTTTATTTCTTGTCTGTTCCTCCATTTTTCTTGATCCATTTGTGGGGAATGCCTTAGCAGAATCCACTCAAATACTGTATGAGGTCCTGAGAGCTAGGTTAAGAAAAGAAGCTGGATTCTTTATGGCTTCATTCTTTTCTTACTACTAGTCCTCATGGTCTCAACTTACTGCTTTCTAGAGCATATTATTCTAACATTCTGTGTAAAAAGCCTTTCAAATACTGAATCTGGATTTTTTTTCTCCCTCAAAAGAAAATGCTACTGAATGGTATGCATATATAGTGCTATATTTAGGAAATGTTTTTTCAACAATACATATATCATTAAGAAACTTATATGACAAAAAGAACAGCCAGAGAGAAAACTTCATTGATTAGTTGCCTGACTATATCAAAAAACTATAAAACCAATACAGAGAAAATAGTAGGACATATTCATAATAAATTGTCACCCCTACATTAACCCCAATCTCTTCTAGATAGTCTGTTCTCTTGAAATGGCCTCTGATATAAAAATTGCAATCTTGCTACTGATATGCATGTTTGTTCCCTGCAAGAAGTAAGACAGTTTCTCTTGAGTATCTCTGGTGAACCAGCTGTTGAAGACATTGTACATATCCTGTTTGATTGCAAACTATATTCTGCAGAAAGAACTGTTTACTTAGATCCTTATTTAAAAACTAAAAAATATTGGGACACCCAGGAGTCAAAAGGGATTTTCAAAGTATTCAGCTTGCTATTCTTTTCATGGAGAAAATAAACAATGTGCTTCCTACATAAACACAGGAGGAAAAGTATAAAATGACTTAACTTTTTTTGGAAATGTAAGCACTCTAGGAATTGCTTAATAAGAGTTTTAATTCACTAAAAACCACATGCTATTTTTAAGACTTATGGTTACATGTCTTGCCTAGAAATACAGTGTGAGATTGTCTTCCAAAAGAGTTTATTTTAAAAACACAACTAAATTAAGCCAGCTCCTTGCATTCTCTCACACACATATTCAGCAACTTCTCCCTTCTTGCATTCTTTCTCTTACATATGTCTGTCCCCCTCATTCATTCACTAAAACATAAGCTCCCATCCCATTCATTCATACACAGACACAACTCTCTTTCCATCCTTCCACATCTCACACATACACTTTGCAATTCTTCTGTGAGTTCTGCATCAAAAATGACAACAGTTTTGTCCCAGCCTTTAATAGGTTTTAAAAGAGAGATAGGCAGCCTTTAGTCCTAGAGTCATATGAGACTCTTGGAGTTCCCTCTGACATTGATAGCTGAAAACTGATAGCAGATTATTGCCATTTTGCGGGTGGGAGTGGGTGATGCACGAACACTACAGTGTAATCTCAAAAATTGGCATATTCAAATGACAAAGAAAACCTCAAAAATTATTCTCACACCCAGTCTCATATTTATGATGCAGCCTTTTAACACCCCTCCCTCCCGTTATGTATGGCCCAAACGGTTGCTCATACCTTTGTTTGTCTTCAAACAAACAAAAACCTTTTTTAAAAAAATCTGTGTACATTTTGAAAATGAGAGCCAGTTTGGTGTAGTAGTTAAGGCATCCGGGTAGAATCCAGGAGTCTGTGAGTTCTAATCCTGCCTTAGGCATGAAGCCAGTTGGGTGATCTTGGGCCAGTCACTCTCTCAGCCCTAGGAAGAAGAAGGCAAGGGCAAACCACTTCCGAAAAACCTTGCCAAGAAAACTGCAGGGACTTGTCTAGGGAGTTGTGTATGTGTGTGTTCGTTCTTTGAATGAGAAAGGTTGTGTGATTTTGCTTTATTTCATCAGATGCAAGGACCAGGGAATGTAGAGGATAGAAAACAGGATGGGGGGGGGGTATGTATACATATGTACATACACAAACATACCACATGCTGAATTCTATATGAAAGAGGAAGAGTAACATTTATTCAGTTAACAGCCAGCAAAATTTACAAAATATACAACACGAGAGTAAATCAAATGAATGAGGTAAAATAACAACATAGCAGAATCTCTATAATAAAAGTGTAACACAAGCTAAGTAACTAATACAATGACAGAATCTGCATTGAATCTGAAGTGGTTATTCCTGGAACCAGTTATGTCTTATTTTCATTGTGGACACACATCATTTGGCTACTGTGCAAGTAATGAAGGGTTTCGAATGTTCAAGAAGATGATATGCATAGAAGTTGTCTGGCCTTCCTGGGGATATGAAAGAGAGAGAAATGTGTGTGTGTGCTGCTTATTTTCTTTATTCACATTCTACCAACCAGTTCTAAGCCCCTCTAGCATTATTGCTTTCTTTCACTTCCCCCTGTCATTAGTTCATCTTCAGTCCACCAACCTCTCCATATTTTGGTTTTGCACATGTGTGGTAGAGCATTTCCTACTTTGTGGCTCATAAATTCCAGGCCCCATTTAAGCTTCAGTTGGAATTGAGTAGAATACTGTATTAGTTTGAGTGGAAAGCAGAACCGTATGCCTTTAGTACAAACTAAAATTGACTTGCAAATTTGGATTGTAAAAGCTAGGTTGAACTAGATATCTGTAAGGCAGTTTGCACATTTCACAGATTCTTCTTTTGGAGGTTGTCTTTTTCATTAATCAGAGGCTCCTTTAAATCAACTTTTTTCTGATGTGCAAATGGTGGCCACACCCAGAAAGGAGTAGATGGGCTAAGGATAAAAGCTAAATGAATTTTGATTTCACTTCCCTTTAAATTGTTTAAATATAGTTAATAAGATTATTCTCTAGTCATATGTTCCTCCTCCTTCATTTGTCAGATTAAAATTACAGTTTGATAACTATTTTTGGAGGTCTCTAGAGGCTGCATCCAAGTCTTTCAGGGGTGCTTGTGATTGTAAAGTCTTTGATTGTTTATCTCTACTTTAAGCCAATTAACTTCATTGTTGCATGGAGCCAAAATACTGAGCAGCCTAATGTAAAGAAAATGGAAAATATTTACAAGTGGAGCTAAATTTATTCTCTAATAAAGAGATAAAAGAGGAAGCAGGGTGGTGAAAATAAAAGCAAATCAATTGTTTTTGTTTGTCTTCATCAATTGATGAAGAGAAATAATTCCTGGTAATAAGCCTGTTGTTTGAGTTGATGGCACTGATTACTTTTTTTCTTTTTATCCAGGATGAAGAAGAAGAGATTAAACAAGAAATTAACATGCTAAAGAAATATTCTCATCACCGAAATATTGCTACTTATTATGGTGCTTTCATTAAAAAGAACCCACCAGGAATGGATGATCAGCTCTGGGTAATCCAATGCTTTTGTTTTTATTTTAACAATCTTCACTTCATTCACTGTGGTTGGACAAATCTTAAATATAAGCAGTGTGTCAGCAAGTGGTAATATCTGCCCAGCTGTGGTTAATTTGGAAGTTAAGTAGGTTTGAGACCTGGCTAGTACTTGAATGAGGAACCACCAAGCATATCAGAACTATAGGCAAGATTGGGAAGTTGCAAAAATTTCCTTTAAGGAGATAATGGCAAACCACTTCTACGCCATGTAGTCATCAGGAGCTGAGTTTGATTAGATAGAAGAGAGACTTTACTGCAACTGGTACAGGTAGTCCTCACTTAACAACCCTAATTGGGACTGGCAACTCGACTGCTAAACGAAGCAGTCATTAAATGGGAAATCACATGACAGCGTTTGTGCTTTCCAGCTGAAAAGAGACAAGACTACTCAGTTTCACACCTTTGGCTTTTGTTTGCCTCTTAACCCTCCCTCGCTCTTTGGAATGCTCAAGTGCCTGCTTACTGTCTTGTACACTTTGAAAGCAATGCGATTGCACCAGCCGCCCGCAATACGCATACAGTGTATTCTCTTGAAATCCCTTCCTCTCCAATCTCTCCACTCTGCAAAGCAAGGGGAGGAAAAAAGTAAGCAGTTTCTGCAGGCAATCTCTTCTTTGCCTGACCCTCCCGCCCCCCCCCCCACTGCAGAGTGGAATGAATGGATAGGAAGGGTTGCAAGAGAGTAAGCTGTTTGCTCTTCTACATATCGAAAGCAATGCAGTCGTGCTGGCAGCCCAGGGCTGGAAGCCACGGGTGTACTACACAGTTTACAGTACTGTCTTGAAATCTCTTCCTCTCCAATTTCTCTGCTCTGAGGTGGGGGGGAAGCAAGCGATTTCTTTAGGCAAGCTCTCCTTTGCCTGACCTTTTTCTGCTGCCGGTACGATTGCATTGCTTTTGATGTGTGGAAGAACAAATAGTTTACAATCCCTTCCTCTCCAATCTCTCTGCTCTGCAAGAGTGGGAAAAAAAAAAACACAGATCAGGCACAGAACAACACGTACTGATTGTAATGGCAATCACGTGACTGAGGGATACTGTGAAGGTCATAAATGATCGTAAATTGGCCATAACGTTATTTTTTTCAGCACTGTCATAACTTTGAACAGTTGCTGAACAAGCGGTTGGTAAGTGAGGATTACCTATACTGCAATCCCAGGACTGTTCCAAGGAGGAACTTTGGAGAATCAGTAGCTGATTTGTCTTCCATTTGTGCTTGGGTGTGTTTTAAATGCTCTGTTCCTTAAATCATCTGCAAATCAATTTATGGGAGGTGACACTGTTCTTCTTGTAATATAGTTCAGTTTGAAACAGGTACAATATCCATTCAGATTCCATAGCTGTGTTTGCATAACATGTGATGTAGAGCTTAAGCTTCTAGGGCTTTGGTTTTTCTGGGGTTTGGGGAGCCTAATTTTTATTTTTCTCTCCTCTTATTGCTGGTAAGTAGACATTGGTACCTGCAGAATGGCTTACAAAGCATAACAAAGCAGTGAAGATGCATCTGCAGGAAATATTTCATTCTGTGTTTATTCCTCCACCCAGTTCTTTTGGTTAGCCTCCTACCTGGGATCAGGCAAAATAGATGGTATGGCTTCATTTTCCTTCCTTTTCAGCTAGGTCTTTTCAGCTTGAGTTAGCTTTAATAACAATGTTAATCATTTTCAGTATTTATGTTTAAATGGTTATCACCTGCCTTGAGGCCTCTGGACAAGAAGACTGAATATAAATGGTTTATCTCAATAAATAGACAAACAAATAGCCAGCCCTCTCTGGTTTCGAGAGAGCCTTAACCACAGTCTTGGTCCTAGTGCAGGCTTTAACTCAGGAAAAGTTTGGCAACACCTTTTCCAACTAACAGATTTTATTAAACTTGTCAGAAATGGTGCTGCCCAACTCCTCCTGATTTTTGGCCACTGCAGACTAACACGAGTCTCCTACTACAAAGTCTATCTTGAGAAGCCTAACTGCAAACTGGCTTAGGGTATTGTGTGAGTTTGCCCAGTAAAAGTAGCATGTACTTAATTAGGATGCAGGAAGATGACTCTCCTTCTGGTCACAGGGAAGCCAAATTTCTAGAAGACAAGATTATCAGTGGCTCCTAGTCTTGAAAAGTGGGTGCTGCATCAAGGCATGAGAACAGCTTACCTCTACATATTAGGTGCACAAGAGTAACAGTGGGAAACCATGGCTGCTGTATTTTCTATCTGTTGACTTCTTAGATGCATTTGGTAGTTCTTAGTGCGAGAAGGAATGCTGGTTAGAGTGGCCTAGACTTGATCCAACAGGGCTGGCTTCATGTCCTCAAGTTCTCAGTGGCAACCCCATGCCAGGTTTGTAGTTCCTCCTTCCACACTGGAATTCATATTAAAAGTTACACTTTGTTTAACATCACTATGTGACGCTTTCCTTTGCTTTAACACTGGCTGTTACAAGCAGAAGCAGAGAAAAACACAACTTGATGATGCTGAGATAAGGTCTAAGTTGTCTGCAGGTTATGAAAAGCAATCTCAGTGGAGTTTGCAACAGTTCTTTCTTCAGCATCACCCAAAAGAAGGTGGGATATAAATACAAATGCTTCTGGTTTTGTTATGTTTTGTTGCATTTATTTAAAAGCTTAGAATGCATCTTTTCTTGCAGGTCTGCAGTTCAGCACCTGTGCATTGTTAAACTTTAATGTGGTTCGGAGGATCTGTTTGTTTGGGGGGGGGGTTGCTAATTTCTGGGGTTAGTGCATGATTTGAATCACCTATTCAGAAAGTGTTGTTGGGCTGCAGCTGAGAGGTGAATGGTACATTTTGTTCTACGTGAGCAAATAACTACGTTTTAGATGCCTAAATTGAATTAGATTAGATTTAGATTGAATTAGAACTGGTGACAGTTCTATCCTTCCTGCTCTGGAGATAAATACATCTTTATTTTTCGCTGTCATTGTTGTTGGAATAAAACTCCTTGATGATAGGGCCAAAGTAATTCTCTTTATCAGTCCTCTGCTGAGGTGATAACGGAGGGGTGGAGGGGAAACCAGAACTTTTTCAATACAGATTATGATCTCTCTGAAATAAGGCAGGTTTCTGACATATTGTATGGCTATCATGCTTGAAGTGCCCCTTTCTGTTTTCCCTGCACATACTGCTCTGTAACAAGAAAAAAGCCAACAGGGTCTATTAAATGTTGTCACTTTCATCAAATATGAATGCCGTGTGCCACAAATTCTAGCCTAACTGCACTCTGGAAGACCAAGTGCAGGGTCACCATTCTTAATACCGAGGGAATTGGGTGCAAGGGTCTAGCAATCACCTCCAGGATCTGTAGAATTCCAGTGTCTTGCCTTGTTTTCAAAAATCATCTCTTCAAATTATTTGTCCTGATGGGAGGACAGTTGCTTAGAACATGGGAAAGAATCATTTTGGTCACCATACCAAGGTACATTTTGTTCTATGGAAAAGGGTTTATTTTGTCTTTCTCTCTCATTCTGTGTCTAAGTTTTTGTCCTGTTGGGCTGAAAAATTAGTGGGTGAGTGCTTATTTTAAGGGAACTGATCCTTCCTATTCTTATTTATGTATTTATTTATTTATTTATTGGATTTGTCGCCGCCCATCTCATTAAATGACTCTGGGCGGTTTACAAAACAATTGTAAGCTGTTTTTATCTGCTTCAGTTGTCTTTCATTTTAACTTTTATATTGTGGCTTAATTGCTTTTAGCTTCTGAGCCACCTTGAATACTATGTGTTGGGGAAAGGGGGTTATGCGTTTTCTTGATGAATATTGCAGTGCTGCACAGCTTCTCTGTTTATAGGAGCTGCCAGACTCAAGACACTGGCAATAGCCCAGTAGATATATTTTATGCACAGCAAATATACTTTGATGACTTTAAAACCTTCCCAGCAAAGTTAGCTCTCTTTGGCAATCATGTCTTAAAATGGTTTGGGAAACTTGGGTATTGGCAGGGCATGAGGCATAAAATCCAAATGCTAGCTTTAACATCAATATGTGAGGACACCTCCTTATTATTGTTTGAGAGTACTGCCCCCTTTTCAAAAATACTTGTGAAGAAATTGTTCAAAATTATAACTTATAGATAATATTGTTTTAGGTATTGAATTTGACTTACAGATCTCTGCATCTGGGAAATCAGATGAGAATCTCAATCAGCCTTCGCTAATAGGGAAGGCCATTCTGGGAAATGTGGGCTTTGATTGGGGAATTCTCGGAGTTATAGCTATTTCTGGAGGATGCCAGATTGAGCATGGTACTTTGAATATAAGACTGGGACATGGGAACCAGGATGAACCACAGTATGGGATTTAAGGCTTTCAGATCTGGCTTGCATTATAATCAGGGTAGTATGAGGACTGTTCCCAAACTTCAGAATTGTCCCTTTTTTCCCTTGGCCTTTGACTGGCTTTCCTTCATTTCTGCCCTCCCTTGCTTTGCTTCACCTTCACCTCTTTCTTGCTGCGTTCAAACCTCTCTTGTGCTAAGAGTGTGCCACTTAGCGTGGCAGATCCTAACTCCCTGTGGTGGAATGTGGGTTTCACTCAGACAAGAGGGAGGGGAATGTTGAGCTGTTACAGAAAATATATCTGAATCTTGGGGAAGTAGAAAGCATGAGAAAGAAGCTCAACTCAACTCTGCCTTGATTGTGTTAGCATAAGTTGAAGTAGAGAGGGGCTCTGACAGGCTTTCAAGATTTGGTTTCAATACCCTAAACCCATTAAAGTACATTCCAAGGTTCCTTGCAACTCCTGTTTCCTGACTCTGCCTATCTCAAAAGGCTGACACTACCCAAGTTATTTTCTAAAACCCCTAATGGGGGGGATTTGACAAATGCAAGATTAGGAGTTGTGGCCCAACACATTTGAAGGGGATCAGTTGACAGTGATCTTTGTGCATTTTCTCCTCTCATTTCATTTCATATGCCTCCAAGTCCCAAAGGAATTGGGGAGGGGAG